TGATGTTACTTATGACTCTAGAAATCCTGAAAATTACAGGAGGGGTGGATGGTAACATAGAGGAGGACTGTGAAGTAATCCTTCTGTCCCGAGTCTGTTGTAGAAGAAAGGCATCCGTCAGTGAGCTGAAACTGTAGAGGTATTCCATTGTGCACACAAGGTAATTAAAGATTAAATTTTGCATGCACTGCTGAGAGGTTTGAGATGGAGCACCACTAGTGCAGCCAGCCTGGATGCTGCTGGTCAGAAGAATCCAGCACTGCCTGTATGCGTCAGATTCCGCGTGGAAGTCTATGCATAGATTCACTTACAGCAGAGAACCTCTCGAATAAATTTGTTTCACTTTTATGAAATGTAGCACCCTGACCTTCTGATTACATTTGTGTTGCGAGTTTAAGCTTCCTAGGATTCACTGAAAAGTAGGACTACACTGGAAAACTTTTGCCACCTCTGGAGATCAAGGACTGACATTGTAAGATAGTTTTAATATACAAAATCTCTACCAATTCAAAAGACACCTAGCTGTCAAGAGGTAAGATGTTAAGCTGGTACTTGCCAATAGGCACTGAATACCCTACCCATGCTTCTGCAGGGAGGAGATCACAGCCATTAAAACAGAAGGCAAAAGTTGATTGAAGTTAACTTTATTCCAAAATATGTATAATTTACAGGACTAAATAAGTGCTTCATTTTCAATACTTGTGAATAACTTACTAGTAGCTTTGTGTAACACTTCAGTTTCCAACAGAGGGAAATATGAAACAGTATTTTGGCACAAGGTTTTCTCTGCATGCATTAATATACTTAAAAGTTTCACAATTACTAGGACAACATTCCTTCTTTGGGATTGTCACTTGTAAAATAGGCCTAAGAAATGAATGCTTGCCTTTGTCTGCTCATTGCAACTTTACTGGCTTAAATAGCAAGAATTAAACATGGACATCCTTTGAAAACTAAATTTGTCCACTACATCAAAATCCCACCAGTGATGAGAAGAAAAATATTTTAAGGACATTTCTCAGCCTTATTAAGATTAACTCACACATGCTTTGGGAAAGACTCGCCCATGAGGTTTATTACTCATCCATTCCAAATAGTTACAAGTTTAAATTAGATCATAATCAGGTGTTGAATTCTGTAAGCTGAAAAAATATGGCTTTCATATCAAGCTTTATCATAGATGCACTTGCAGATATCTGTAGATAGAAGTACTGTCAATCTAGCTCTGCATGCAAGTGCTTGAAACATGCATGTAAAGCATTAGTTGTTGTGAAATGTACAGTTTACATCATCACAAGTCATCTATTATATTCCATTGCTAGTTATGTTGATGATACTGCTGTAGAGCCAGTACATGAAAAAGAATCAGAAGTAAAGGACTTCTGTTATTTAACTCAGCAGTTCCTTCAGGAGTTTCCACTGTTTTAGGCTGTCCAGTTACATTTTCAGTGAAGTGGAAGAGTCACGCGCACAAGTACAAACATACCCTCAGCCTGACTGCAAGGCAATGCAGAGTTGAATGATGTAGTTCCTTGATTCTGTTCATTGCATAGCAATGGCATTTTAAACAAGAAAATTCAGTCATGCTCTAAGCAGCAGATCCTTCTAGCACACATTTAAATTCACATCAACTGTTAAAAAAACAACAGCAAAAGAAACAGAAGATGCATGTTTGCACCATGCATTGAAGGTTGCTACCATTAAACAACCCTATCCTCATAGTGTTCATAAAAAGTTATTAATGGAAGTCTGTTTACAGTAGGCCTATTCTACTAGAAACCCAAGCATAGCAGCACCTTAAACCAAACATGAATGAAAAAGCTTGCACGACCCAGAATGTTAACCACATTTTGGTGTGAATGTGTTTAGAACAGGAAATTGTATATTAAGATCATGTCTAAACAAGTAATACGTCAGAAACATATTAAAGCAAAGGAAGCTGTACAGCCTTAATGATAAAGGCACGTACATTTGGTTCACCTCACAGTTGTCATTTCAGTAACATACTCTTTTGCAAGTTGAGCACCCTGTGTTGATTCAGTATGTATTAGTCCTATTGACTTACCCTATATTTGAAAGGCTATTAGAAAACCCCTAAGATCCCAATCCTGCCCACACTTACATCTCTGCCCAGCCTCACAAAAAAAATCAATTCTGACCTGACTAAGCACATGAGCATGTGTTAGCAGGATAAGGATTTAAAACACTGGAAGGCAGTCATCTTTCTTTGTTCTGTTGCCTCTACACAATCAAGGTACATACGACTAACAGGGAAATTCAGCCTTTTGTTTTCTACAGAAAAAATGACTGCATATGCACCTTGGAATGGAAATTTGTAAAAAGTGTTAGTCACATACATTAAGTTACAGACACTGATTGAATTGTTCAAAACTAGACGAGGTCTCACAAGGCTTGTTTTACAGCTGTTTAATTTACAGCTGCAAGTGTGTATGTATTTTTTTTAAGATCTCATATCCTTTGGAAGTGAAAATTTTCTAGACACAAGCAGCTTTGCATAGCTAAGAATACGTAGCATTAGTAAACTTTGCCTTTAAACTACCAATTTCTCTAGGCTGCCATGAAGAGTTTGGGGATGATTCCCTCCCTACCCAAAGCAGAAAGAAGTATTTACAAGGGTATTAGTGGAAATAGATGCAAATAAAGCCAAAAGTAGAAGAAACTTACATGTACTGTCGTACAAATTTTTAGCATTGTGACAAACGAACACGGAAGGCAACAAGACAGACCTCTCAGTTTTCAGCTGTTTTGTGCTTATGTTCTCATAGAACATGTGTCCCAAATTTGCTGTTTCATTTTTTTTATTTTTTTATATACTAAAGAAAAGCTCAAGTGAAACTAGAAAACCACTAATTCAATTTTAGAGTAGCATTACACAGGCATCCAGATCAAGATCCAGCAATCACAGCATAACAGAATTAAGCAGGAAATGCAAAGAGCAAGTACAAGTAACATTAGTATCACTTCCAGATAAATATTTGTGCTAAGAGGCTATAGAGAATCTGATGTTACTTTTTGTATAGCAGTTCAAATGGCAGTAGAGGATACAAAAGAGAGTAAGCAAAGTAGTAAGTCACTGCTGACCAATACTTACAATAGAGACAGTGCCTTGAAAATCAAATCAGAGACAAACTGCAGAAAAAGGGAGATAAGTATAACTTTAGTACTACCAAGAAATAGTTCTGACTGAAGTTTATTTTTAAAACAACAGCCAAAACAGAAAATCAGCCATTTTAAAGAACTTGTTCAAATGTGAAGAATTTGTAATATTCAGCAACAGTATTTCAGATCAGGTTTCCTTAGGTTTACTGTGGGATTCAACAAACTATGAAGACTGGTTGCAGTCTTCACATTTTCACAAAAATACTTAATAAATTGTCAAACTGAGTGACATATGCCAGCAACATAGGATACAAACCTGTTTCTGACTTTCAGGAATAATTTAGGGAGAATCAAATTTGTGAAGAAAGAAGTTAATTTTGGTCAGAATGAGATACTTCCCCAAGACAACACAGACATATTTAATAATTTCTTAATGCTGCACTTTCAATAAAATAATTTTATGTTGTAGCACTGTGTTTGCCTAATTAAAGTTCAAACTATTTTAAACCCATAGGATGAGGGAAGGGAATGGTATTTACATGTTCTAATAAAACACACAGAGCTCAAATACTTTTAATTACAAGGTACAGTAAATAGCCATTACATTGTAAGATTGCATCCACACCTTAGGTTTTTTTCTGATAGTCACTGATGTTAAGAGCTTTGGCTTACACCGTAAGAACATGGCAATTCTCATTCTGATTTGTAAATTAGTTTCAAAGTTCTTTAAATGCTGGCTGGTCTCTCAGAGGGCTGCAATTCAAAGCCTTCTGTAATTCTGCTCCTCATCACCTAAGATTCCTTCTCTTGCAAAAAAGAGACCGACTTTCTAAATTGATAGGTAATGAACAGTTTCCCACTTCTGCCTCCTACAGCTGCGGAGAATGGAGTTTCCCCCAACCAGATTTATAGCAACTGCTTCTCTTTGCTGCATCAGTACAGACAGCTTGCACATGGGAAACACAGAAGCCCACATATGAAGAAGTGTTCTCCGGTATTTCAGCCAGGGGGAACAAAGGAGAAGGAAAAACTCTTTAAAATCTGAAGATGCAACATTACTGGAAAAATACTGCAACAGAATAAACTAACCCAATTTTGTCATTTATTTCCCAGTTTCAAAGTAGGCAGGTAAATATGAATCAGTCATATCTTCAGAAGAACAGAATTGCAAGCGATGCCTGCCTTTTTTTAATATATCCCACCTTTAAGATAAGAACTCTAGGCATTGTGAAACATGGGGGGACTTTCCCCAAAGCAGAATTACTGTACTCCTGGGGGGAACTGCAAGATTCCTTTCTGCAGTCTCTTCAGCCAAAGACTGGAAGTGTCTGAATTCGCACCTAGAAACGTTGAAAAGTTAAAACAGGCAACGCAGCTGTGGTTTCAGGAGGTTTTTTAGGAGGAAAATATGAGTTTCAGGGTTAATCTAGAGGTTATTTCCAGTAAAAGTGAAGATGCTTACCATATTAGTGTGTTAACTACAGCATTAGAGAGTGGTAGGAAGAGACAAAAAAAAAAAAGAAAAAGGTACTGCTCATTTTCAACAAAACAAGCTGCCTGCAGTGTATGAGTAACAACTCCCACATCCTTGAGTTGAGGATATGAAGCACAAAGCATAGCAAGTCTTCAAAAACTAAGGCTTAGACATACATTTACTGACGGGCTGCCTAGTAAATATGCAGCCAATACTTCTCCTCTCACAAGGGAGGAGTAACAGAAACTAAAACCTGTCCAGGACAAAACCAGAGGCCTATGTTTTGCAGGTATTATAGTAAGAGAGAAAAATTAGTTAAGGCCAAATTCCAACATACATTCACAACTGGCTTCATTTTTTTCTTATGCAAATGAAAAATACTGCAAATAATGGTATGAGGGGCAAGATGAACATTAAAAAAAATTCCAATAGGTCCCATGTTTCTTCTCTGAAAAATCAGTTTGAATTTCACTATACTCAGAAAAACTATCTAAAAGCTGCAGGAACTGAAGGCTGCAGATCAATGTGCAAAAGCAAGATACAGCTGTTCTGAAAGGGCTTCTGTGAGCTGATTTCCCAGCTCTGTTGTACAGATTCCAATTGTTTTTGGAAGCAGAAAGTCCAAAACCATGAGTCTAGACGAGTGAGCATTTTAGAGAATTTAATTTTCCATTTCTAAAGATTTCTGTTAAGGTAATAGAGGTATAAACCACTGTAACATTTCTCAACTTATATCTTAATAAAGCTAGGAGAATTTCAGTGAAATTATTCCAGTCTTTGAGGCACACACATTGTAACATTTGCATCTTACAGACAGAAATAATTTAAGTAAATCCCCCCTGAAGACTCTAAAAATGTTAGTCCCATTCATTACACTAGCTAAAAGGATGACATACTAATTTTCCCTATAATTATGTATTCCAAGTTCTCTTCTTACTCTTAAAAGGGCACCAGTGCCTCTCAGGGAAAAAAATAAAGTACTGCTTTCCACATATTTTAAATAATAAATATATTCAACAATTCAAGAGTCTATATGTGTCTAGTGTGTTGGACTGGTATTTGGAAAATACCAACTTATGAAGGAGAAAGAGCTGTAAAGGCATAAAGTAAAAGAAGACAATACGGCTTATTATGTTCATGCTGGATTTAAAATACAAGCTACTAAAAAAAGTAAACAGAAGTAGCTTACACTAATAGAATCCTCCCCCGTAAGTTCAGGGAAGCATCTGAATTGGACAGGTCAGGGTTTTGGTCCAGCACATTGGAACCCCATACGTAAGCCAGGAATAGATAGATAGAGAGATATATATATAGAACAATTTTAAAAGTTCTTCTGTTTCAACGAAAGCAGTATCAGCTTTGTAAAGAAGTTTGAGGAAAAAACATAGGCACCACAATTTTTTTTTTTAAGGTTCAAATGCACATTAACATGTTACAGGCCCCCCTTCCCCACCATTTATACACACATAGCTTATGTAGTGTTACATACTGAGTAGAGTACCTTCAGCACGAAAAGTCTCTTAGGCTGACTGCTCACGATAATTACATTCAACAAAGCAAAGTGGATAACTTGGTCAAGCCATCTCTCTCACCCCAATAACTTAATTTCAGACCACAGAAAACAGTTATGTTATGTAGTACTCAATGGCTGGGCTTGTCAGAGCTCTGAAACAAGGAGCACAGCTCTTCACAGGTCTGTGTTTCTACTGAACTGAACTGGGACTCCATTGTATTCCAGGCTAAGTCAGCCAGAAGAAAGTCATCCATTGCTGTCTGTGTCTCATTGCTGGTAAGGAATAAACTCCCTAGATTCTCAAAGCAGCTATCCATAGTCTGTGTTTCAGCACTACTGAGCTGGACTTTGCTTTCAATATTCTGAGTAGGTATATTTTTAGTAGCCGGATATACTTCCGTCTGCGTTTCTGTATCAGAGGAGTCAGTACTCATGGAGAAACTAGACTGCTTCAGAATACTTCCTAAAGGCAGATGGGTATTACTGTCCAAAAAGAAATTCAAGTCTGTTTGTGTCTGTGTATCAAACATCTCCAAACCTAGGAAGTTAGAATTTCCTCGGCAGCTATATGATTGAGTGGCACTATCTGAAAATAAGAAATCAGTCTGAGTTTCAATGTCCAGTGACTCCAAAACTGGCTCAGAGTTTAGGGTACCAAGCTCACTCTCTTCAGTCTGAGTTTGGATATTGGATGCTGAAAAGAACTCTTCAATGTCAAAGTCTATTCCTGTGCTCTGTGATGGACCAGATGGCAGATGTGTGTCAGCATTAGAACTTGTCTCAGACAAAAGGCCACGATTATCCAGTGTCTGGCCAGACATGTTTCCTGAAAAGATGTTTTCCAAATCACTTAGTAGGTCCATTGTCTGGGTTTGATTATCCGTCGTATTTTGAGGTGGAAGTATATTAGTCTGTGTGTTGAAGCTGATAAGGGATTCAGACTTGACCGTATCTTGATTCAGGCCCTTGCCATTACTCCTTTGCAGCAAGGTTTGATCTATATTTGCAGGCATTAAATTGTTTTCTGGAAGTTGAATGTGAGTAGAAACATTATATGATGAATGAACGTTGTCAAAGATGTCACTGCACATTACAGCCTGGTCCATTTGCACTCTTCCATCAATAGAGTCCTGTGTCCTACTGGTTTGAGTCTCTCTAGAAATGCTGCATGCTGGAAAACAAACCTGACTAAAAGCATCAGTCTGAGCAGCTATGGATGAAGTCAGTCTGGAAGCAGGCAGCAGCGTCTGTGTTTGCACACTGATAGGTAACGAAACCTGTGAACTGAATGACAGATCTGTCTGAGAGCAAGAGGATACAGAAGAATTGGGAGTCCAGGCTGCAGCCGGTACAAAGTTCTGTGAAATATAAGATAAGTCAGTCTGTATATTTATTGAAGAAATTTTATTCTTGTGACAAACATTCCCCAGCTCTTGCCCTGTGTTATTTGATGCAACCGTATCCAACTCAACTTGTACACCAGTACTTACTGGTTCGTGATCACCGGAATTTGTCACTTTTGAAACAGGCATACTATCTTTAAATAGAAGTGTTTCTGCCTCCAGTGCTGGAATCAGAATTCCTATAGATTGAGGCAATAAATGAACAGTACTTAGAACTGAACCTTGATTATCAACAGCCACTACAGCAGGTTTGACAGAAGAGTCTGTTGCAGATACATATATAGGCAAGTGAGCAAGCTGCATCACTGGAAGCTTAACCAAAGCCACCTTGGGCTTTGGTAAAAGCATCTTCGGAGTACATTTTGGCTGCATTTGGTTCGTGAAGTTAGAACTGCAGGAGCCTTCAAGAGAGGCCACTAGTTTCACTTCAGAGGACTCCAATTCCTGAGTGCCAGGATTATTATTGTGTGTATTGATGAATGCTTCATTTGCTTTCTCTGCCAACTGCTGATTATGGACAGAGGTTTCCATTTTCCTTTTCTTACTAGGAGGATCCCTGTGAACATGAGATCAATAATTTATATTCCTTCCAAGCACAAAACATCTGCCTTCCATTCTTTTGAGTCATTGCATTGAAAATATAAACTGAAGTCACAGATGAGGTTGGATATGAGAAGACAACTAATCCTGATTAAAACATAAAAAGACTCCATGAATTTCAGTTTTGCAAAATTTCGTTCCTCGCTCTTTTTCTTTAAAAAAAAAAAGAAAAAAAGGTTACCTCTTTTATGGAGACCTATTCCTAAATGGAGGTAGAAGTTTAGATGGTTTCTTGCCCCTTGTACATTAAGCACTCTGATTTGAAGGCATGTTTAATTTGTTATTTTGATGCTAAGTCAGACTGAGCACTGAAGGGACAGCGCTCTTAAAATTAGCGTACAGGTAAAGGTCTCTCATGGAAACTGAAGATACAATTAGCACTCCTTCACACAAAACTTAATTTTGCAGCAGTTGAATCTCCAAGACAGGCTAGGCCTCAGGAAACAGATTACCCATTATGAAATATATGTACACATTTAAGACAACTATAAATCTAAACATGCATATATAGGCATTTAAAAAAAATCCACTAATACTTGCAAAGATGACTAGACTTATTATAAAAGAAAATAAACTGAACTGCATTCCACACCAGTTATGAGCTATAAACATTTCCAAATCATCTCTACTCTCACAGAACTGTAAAAAAACAAACCTGTTGCAGATGCAACAAGAATCACTAGCATTTATGCCATGCAGTGCAGTGTCATCAGTACTTTTTGTTTTCTATGTGGGGAAGCCTCATCTTATTAATTAGACAATCATCACTGCCTTCAACAAAACAGAAATTACTAAAAGCAACTGAACAAAGAAACTGCAAACTGCTTTACAGCTAAAACAACATGAGCCTACTTCCAATCTAATCAACAGAAAGGAGACAAAAAGCCAGTACATGGGAGACAGCGGAATTGGTGATGAATGTAAGTATCATTACTTAACCGCTTCGTTTTTACCTGTGTTCTGCAGGAATTTCATGGCCAGTTCTGTAAATATGAGACAGTAATGCTGTTCTGCTGGCATAAGGGCACCCACAAGTACACTGGAAAGTCTTGCCACAGACCTCTATATGCCGTTTCAAATACCATTCTGTACCATAGGAGTTACTACATTTATCACATTTGTGCTTCTTTTCAGCATGCATTTTCATAAAGTGCTAGAATACACAATGAAAAGTAAACATTAGCCTTCAGCTAAGATAAAAAGAGAAAATCATGTTTAGGGGAGACAGTAATATTTGCTTTTTGTTGTTATTGTTAAATAGCAACGAAGAGTAGAATTAAAAATTTTTTAAAGGTCTTATTAGGAGGAGTAAGTTACAAGCTTAAAGAAACCAACAGAAAGAATTTAAAGTTTGCAAATCTGCTTGTGCTATTTGCATATTAAAACACAGATAAACATTTATGTGTCCTAATGCTCTTGGAGGTTTCCTATGGACATTAATAAATCTATAGATGAATCTTGCCCAAGAGCATAGTAAGTATATGTTGCAACATGTGCACGCTCCTGAAGATCTACAACTGAGCTAATAGTCTCAAGTCAAACAGGTCAACTTCAGAGCAAACACCAGATTTTTCCTTTTCATTTACAGCACCAAGTTCTAGCCACTCATCTCCTATGGTGTCCCCAGCTTATCACAGGTAACCAACAGCAGAAGAGTGCTTTTTATACTCACGCATGCAGAAACAAGTCTTACATGTTTCCTTAAACAGGTAACTAGTAAACATGCATTTTGATACTAAAGCAGAGAAAAACTCTTAACTCTTGACCACTTGAAAAAGCAGTTTAAAAGCATCAGCCACATTTTAAACCTTTATTGGTTGCTGCTGTGATCTTCCCCCCTGCCACTCTTTGATCTTTCCTCATCTTTTTAATTTGTGGAGAGAGGCTGTCAGAACATACTGGCATCTGCCTGATCAAAAGGTTCAAGTCCTCTAATATCAACATGCAAACATGCAAATTCATTAACCATAAGCCCATGTGGAGCTTCTGCATACAGTTCTCCAACTTCTGGATACATGCTGAGAGGCTTTGCTCATCACTGAATGCAAAAGTGTACACTCTCGGGAGTAGAGACAGTCAGGACTAATCAGTACAAAAATACTTTAGGAAATAAGAATACCTGTTTTACAAGAGAAAATTGGGAAAATGGTCTGTTTGGTCCTCTAGGGCAGCCTTCAATAGGACAGCAGTAGAATTTCTGTGAAGTTTTCAAACCCTTCCTTACTGGTGCATTAAGTTTTCCATCCTGAAAAAGAACCAATTAAGAAGTTGGCAATTCTACAGGTTTGCATATTAAAGACAACATTCAGAATACACATCAACTTTGGCTCACTGAGTTTACACACCTCAATGAGCTGAAGGCACCTTCCTAAGTGTTTTGAAAGCTCAAATGGAGTTTTTCACCTATGTGCATGCTACTTTGCAAATATACCATCAAAATTACCAAGTGAAATTACAACAAGCTCTACGGAGTAGTGGTACTATACTATCTACTTTTACCAAGATGCTCACTGCCCCAAGCCAATTATAACTGCCTTTTGTGTTATCTGAGCCAAAAAGCTTTCTCTACAGATACTACACTGCACTGCCGACTCAACGTGGTTTTACTTTTTTGTAGCACGGTCTACTTGAAGCTCCATTAAAATTAGTCACACGCTGTATAACACAACACTTCCCTGACGTTGGAATTCTGTTGGCACTATTTAGAGTTTACTTGTAATAAAATTAAAAATGCCAAGTACACTCTGCCACTTAATTCAGATCATAAACCAAATCTCACTTAAGTCTATGAACCTAACAACTGGTATGCTAATTATGAACCTCCGAACATTAAGTGACTGGTGTGTCTGCGCTTTTCCATGTGATCTGCCTCACTGACCATCACATGTACACAACAGAAGAAAGCAACATAACTTGCTCAAAGAGGACCTCAAAAATACATATGAAAAGGACACACTAGTGGGATTGTTCAAACACATAGAACCTATTCCTGCTGAGGACACAGCCATGGAAACCAGACAAGATGTATCCCTCTAGACATATCCTATCTGAAAGAGTCTCAGTGGAAACATCAGGCATCTCTATCTAAGCAAAAAATCAAAAGTGAACTATTAAAAATCTGATGCTCAGAGTAGCTGCGAGTCTCCTTACATCCTGAGACTGAGTAGGAGGCCAACCAAGTCCCCAGAGCCAGTTACAGCGTCCACAATGGCATCCCCAGGATGATTATTCAGGGAAGAATTACCAGAGCATGCCCTGTTTGAGCTTTGCACCTGATTTTCCTTAGCATTACGACAGTGACGGTAAGCACACTAAGTGGCAGAATGTTGATTTTACACCAGTCACTCCCTAACTACCTTCTTCTGGCAGATCTCCAGCTGCTTCATGTTTACACAGGTTAGACCAAACATAAAGAATCCAAAGTGCAATTGTTGTCCCATGTGAAGCAAACAGAAAGTATGTACTCAGCTGCCAGAACACAAAGGGGTTCGTGCTCACACCCTTGCTTCTTTCCTAGCTACAGTTAGTCACAACCCAACAACTCTGTGTTCTGAGCTACTCATGCCTTGCTTTTGAAGTATTCATTTCATCTGCACTTCAGGAATACCATGAAGCAGATGAGTGGGACACTTCAATGACTTTGTCTTTCCTTAAATCATCTCTCAATCTAAGATACTCTGTGTAAAACATCATCCCTTCAAGGAATATTTCAGTTATGTTTCCACACACTCAGCACTGCTACTTGCTGACGTTGCCGCACGCTCATTTTTGTTAATGACATACTATACTCAAAGAAGCAAAGTTTAGAGCCTCTCGACCAAAATGATCAGCTGCCATTTCATCAAGAAAACCTGGAATAATTCTCTAAAAACAGACTTTTCATTTAACATTTTAACCTTCTAAGCATCTTTATATAAAGCAGTCCCCATGGACAAACCGCTCATAAACAGGCCTGTTTTATCTCTGCTGAATAATTACTGTGATTATTTTTGCACCTCCTAGAGCCACTGCCCAAAACATGACTCGAAATCTACTTATTCCAGCCCCACTACCCCCACACTTTTTAACCCTGAGTTTACCCAGACACACTCTGACCAGATGCCAGTCTCAAAGTCTTCAGGAGAAAAAAAAAGATTGGCCTTTAAGTCAAAACTACGTTTGGTCTCTCCCACTGCAGATGAAATCAATATGCTTAGTGAGCGACAATTGGAGTTACTTATTCCCAAGTAAGAAGTTATTAAAAGTGTGTTATATTTAATGTCACAACCCAACAAATGACAGGGCAATATGGTAAATAAGCCCAGGCACTTAACAGGTAAACCACAGCCAGATTATTTAAAACTACCTAAGTGCTAGGGTACAGCATAACATCAAGTGTTTAAAAGCTACATAAACACAAGTAAGAGCCTTTTTTAACAGGTGGAACATAAGACTTTCAAGGCACAGATCACAACAAATTTGTCGTGACAAGTTGAGAGATACTCTACACATATAAGTAACCCCATCCAGAGAGTAACCTTGTTTTGACCATCTTCAAAGTCCTCCTGGCTCTAAATGGTTGATCGTACATTGTCCTGGTTAAACCACAACATACATCTTCTCAAAAAAACGGTATTTTAGACGTTCTCACAAGTCCTTTCCTTGTATGTCTGATTTTACTTCCCATTGTTCTACAATAGCCACCCACCACAATTATTAGTAGGTATTTGTTCAATTAACTTCTCACAACACAGACACTTGTATTCTAAGGAATACTGACATTTGGACAGGGCTTCTGGCAACAACCTGGAAAATGGAAAGTAACAATCCTTGCTACTGATTTAGTCAAGGTGAACTTACTGATGTATTGCTTTCCTGTAACAGAAAGGCTTACTCCAAAGGATTAATTTAAAACATTAAGTTAAAGTAGACTGTAGCCGACTATTTAAAACATTTTTTTGCAGCAGAAAATCATGCATTTCTTTACTAAATAGCATGGAAAGCGTGGTGGGGTGACCCTGGGTGGATGCCAGGTGCCCACCAAAGCCAGTCTATCACTCCCCCTCCTCAACTGGACAGGGGAGAGAAAATATAACAAAAGGCTTGTGGGTCTAGATAAGGACATGGAGAGATCACTCAACCAATTACCATCATGGGCAAAATAGATGTGACTTAGGGAAAATTAACTTAATTTATTGGCAATCAAACTAGAGCAGGGTAATGAGAAATAAAACTAAATCTTAAAACACCTTCCCCCTACTCCTCCCTTCTTCCCAGGCACAGCTTCACTCCTGGATTCTCTACCTAACCCCACCCCAGCAGCACAGGGGGACGGGGAATGGGGGTTACGATCAGTTCATCACACGTTGTCTCTGCCGCTCCTTCCTCCTCAGGAGCAGGACTCCTCACACTCTTCCCCTGCTCCAGCATGGGGTCCCTCCCACTGGAGATGCACCCACCTGCTCTGGCGTGGGGTCCTCCACAGGCTGCAGGTGGAGATCTGCTCCATCGTGGACCTCCACAGGCTGCAGGGGGACAGCCTTCCTCACCGTGGTCTTCCCCACGGGTTGCAGGGGAATCTCTGCTCCGGTGCCCGGAGCACCTCCTGCCCCTCCTTTGTCACTGACCTGGGGGTCTGCAGGGCTGTTTCTCTCACATGTTCTCACTCCTCTCTCTGGCTGCAGTTTTTGTGCCACAGCAACTTTTTTTTCCCCTTCTTAAACCTGTTATCCCAGAGGCGCTACCACCATCGCTGATGGGCTCGGCCTTGGCCAGCCGCGGGTCCATCTTGGAGCCAGCTGGCAGTGGCTCTGTTGGACACAGGGGAAGTTTCTAGCAGCTTCTCACAGAAGCCACCCCTGTAGACCCCCCCACTACCAAAACCTTGCCACACAAACCCAATACAGAGAGAAGGGCATTTATTCTTATTACAGCAACTATTGCGGTAGTGTAATATTTGCATTTGGGTAACCGACTCTAGGGGTAAGCTACCCTTTCCAGCTCACCACTGACTACAGCCTCCCTGCTATCATAGGAATCCACAGAATCCTCTCCTTTACATGCACTCCTCTAGCTTCATTTTTGAACTACACGGAAGCCTTCCCCTTCTTCCCACAAAATAATACAGGCAAAAGACCAAAGAACTGAAAAAAATTTCAAGCCTAATACATTAAAGTGCCAGTTTATACCCACTGTTCTCATTTTTTATTGGCTTAGTTAAGCTAAGGAGCCAGAAAACAAATGTTTATATACCAACACTTCATCATATCTTCTTTTGTTAGGCCAAACAAGCCAAATTTTTCTAATTTCCCTTTGTCAGACACACTTGCCATTCACCACCCTTAGTAGCCCTTTTCTACACCTCTTCTGGGTTCCTTTTAGCTTACTTGAATCAGATTCCTACCCTACAGCAGTGAGAGAATATCCTTCTGACATATTTTAGGATTGCCCTTCTCACAGCAGCATTACCCTAAATGCTCATACACATATGACCAAATAGCTTTTGCAAGTGTTTCCCATCTCTGTTATTTCTGTTACAAACAAGGACTGATCAAATTTTTTGTTATCACTTCACAAGACTATAACCTTGTACGGTGGCACTTAACTCTGTTTTTACAGTGTAATCTTGCTTTCCTATGTAAATGTCCTTCCTCTGCAGCAACAATACCTCATAGTTTTTGATATCAAAAGATCCTACTGGTGCTACTTTTATTAATGAAAATTAAACAATTCAACCTCCCTTCTCTTCAGCACTGCAACGTTCTCTCCTTCCCCTATAGCTTCTTACCAACTCATTTGCAAAGCTTCTTCTTCACTAATTCCTCATGTTTCACTAACAAATGCAACCTACTAAATTCTTTTTGTCTGGGGAAGTTATCTCTTAAAAGGAAATACTAATACAAAAGTATTAGTCCAAGTCCATCTCCTTCTGGAGAAACAGAGGAACACCACCTAGATTTATCTCTTTTACCTTCGTATCTTTCTCCTTTCATTCAAGATGCATTCTCAAGCCATGCATAATAGTGTAGATATTTTATCTAAGACATAGCACAGAAAAATTAGCCTCCCTTAAGCCTTGATAACATTTTACTCTCAATTACAATGCCCTTGCAATAAGTCAGACAGATGTTCCTGAAAGTCTCCATCCATCCATGCTTCAGTATTTATCCAAGCTACCAAAAGATTTAGTAATTAGGTGTATGAAATGTGTTATAATTCTACAAGGCATCAATAGTTAACAACTATCTAGGCAACTGGTGAGAAAGCAACATTTCCTCACCCATCATACCCCGAATAGCAGTTATATAACCCACTAGCTGCAGTCCTCGCCGGCTGCTGCGTACGCTCAGAGCAGAAGCTCACAACCGAAACGACTGTCTGCTGAACCCGAGCGAACGTTTTCAACTTCTGTTGTACCTCCACTCCTACGTACACGCGAGATATAATACACAACACACAGAAAAGTTGTTAGCACATATTAGGAAATTAAACAAATCGGAGACAGGAGACTGCAAGTATGCTTGAGACTATTGCCTCTTGTTCATCACAAATGATTACCTGTAATTAACCATTTCACAAAAGATGTTTATTGTTTGCCCACTGGGGCGGCATTATCAGTGCGCAGCTACGAATGCTGAGCTTGAAGTTTTCCAGGAATAGGATTTGACCTCACACACTTGGCATGATCATTTTGAGAAAAGTAAGGGTATCTTTCTGAAAGGCCCACGTTCAGATGCATGCTTGCTGAACTGTGGCTCCCCCCCGCCCCCCAGTACACGCTGCAGTTTTCTCAGCAGTACTATGGTAATGAGGGCTTGTTTCCAAAATGGCATCCATCTAGGTTTTTTTTGGCTCACAGACGTTTTAAAAAAAACAAACAAAAACCCCAGCACAACAGCACTCAGCATTTGGATTACGACGGCTTGCCAACTGCTAAGGGTAGGAAACGCAGTATGTTTGCATAGCACCTCACAAGTGGGGCTATAATGCCTCGCTGCAGAAAGATAAGCAATAAGCAAGTGAAATAACAGAAACTGAGTCCCAAAGAACTTTTAACTGCCTTAGTCACGTTTAACGCAGGTCCAAAACCGGTTACTTTCCCGAAGTAATTTTAGAGGAATTCTCAATACGACTGGCCACACCGCGCACAGGCACGCACTCGTGCCTTTGTAGGCATACCTGCGCACGCTTTTCACGCGGGGGAGATTTAAACAAGAAAAACGCCTCCTTGTTCCCCCTGGGAGTACCGCGTCCCCCCCTTACTGGGCTCCACAAAGCAAACCCCAGCGGAGCCGGACACCGCAGCCGCCCCCCGGGCCCGTACGCGGCCGCAGGCCCCCGAGGGGCCTCGCCTTCCCGCCGAGCAGGACCGGATCCCCTCACCCGCCGCACCGGGCCGAGGCCTCGCAGCGGGGCAAAGGCGGGCGAGGAGGCCGAGGCGCCAGGGCCCGGCCGGAGCCCTCCGGCAGGCCCCCGCGGCGGAAGAAGGAGCTGCGCCATTACAGAGCCCCACCGACCGAGGTGAGGTGAGGGGCGGGC